GCCTTTGGTGAATCTTGGAAAAGGAGATCGTGATTTTCACAGTGGGAAGAATCAAACCTTGCTTGACCTGGCTTATAAATTTTGAGAATTTTGAATGTCAGATTTTCTTAAAGCGGGATTCAGGCCATATGGCACAGATAGGATAATCTTGGGAATGGATAGATGCTGTGTACCGCGAACCCCAGGGAGGTTTTAGCAAACATTTCAGCTTTTATGTGCTAGACCAAATTGAATGCCACTGGCTTAATTAGTATAATGAATGTGATAGGTGTGGTGACTTTCCTTCTCTTTGCCCCTCAAACGTCTGTCCGTCTGTTACAGGACATTATCCTCTGTCTGATTTGGAGCAGATAGGAGCATTCAGTACAGTGTGGAAGACAGCAGGGCGGAGAGCCGACCAGAGGACATTTTGCTCATCTGATTCTCTGAACCCAAGATAGAGGAAAGAAACTTTGCATTTGAATCCTGTTTTTTATAATTTACTTCAATAATATTTCCTTCCAGTGTGTGTTGTTATTTGTAATTTGAACCATTAAAGCTAAGTGAATTTAGGCCTCAGAAATTGGGACTTCTTTCAAAGCAGATTCTGTAAAGAATGAGCCTATTGGGTGCAAAGCGTTGTTGAGCTTATTGTGTGAAATTATGGGGACATTGTTTCATCATTTTATGGTGAAGCCAGATACCCAGGTAACTCCTTTAGAAACCCGGAGGAGTGAAACTTCGGAGCTCGAGGAGAAGATGCAGCGCGTGTTCTGTCGAGAGGGAAGTGAGGTGTTTGTAAGCTCACACAGCCCTTGTTACTGGCAGAGGCCGGTCGCACACCTTCAAAGAGGATGCTGGTTACAGGGCTTGTCGGTCTGCCCTGGAGCCTTTACGGTGACCTTATGTTCTAACCCTTGGCACTTTTGCTGGTTTAATATTACCAGAACAATATACTTTATATTTTTTTAAGATTTTATTTATTTAGGGGCGCCTGGGTGGCTCAGTGGGTTAATCCTCTGCCTTCGGCTCAGGTCATGATTTCAGGGTACTGGGATCGAGCCGTGCATCAGGCTCTCTGCTCAGTGGGGAGTCTGCTTCCCCCTTCTCTCTGCCTGCCTGCCTGCCTGCCTCTCTGCCTACTTGTGATCTCTCTTTCTGTCAAATAAGTAAATAAAATCTAAAAAAAAAAAAAAAAAAAAAGAAAGATTTTATTTATTTATTTGAGAGAGAGTGAGCATGAGCGGGGGCGGGCATAAGGGGGAGAGGGAGAGGAAGAAGCAGACTTCAGCAGCAGATGCTTAACTGACTGAGCCACCCAGGTGCCCCCAAACAGTGTTACTTTAAAGAAAATAGCCAAATCAAAGTTTTCCAAATTCTAAGAGGTGTTTTGCAGCTCATTATGAGTTGTTGAGATGTTCCAGGTATAGAGGTAATTAGTAGACATAATTGATTAGAAAGGGCTACAAGTTGAAAACCGACCGAAAAGTCCTAGGTCAATCATAGAAAATGGGAAGTTGACAGTAATAGCAAAATTGCAGCTGAGAGCAATGCTCTCTAAATCCAAAGAACACTGAAATTGCTATTAGCACAGAATGGCAGTTTACCAGTAAATAATGCTTGCCACACCAACATTCCCATTCTCCACCCCTGTGTGATGTGGAAGTTAAAAGAATAGATTGTTTTCCTTCTCACCCTCTTTCATTTTATTCTTGTCTAGTCAGTGGAGAAATGATCTTGGATAGAAAAATCGCATTAGAACTTTGATAAGTTGCTTTTTGAAATTGTTTCCATGCCACAGACATTTGGAACAAAGTATGTTTATTGAAATATATTTTTATAGAAAATATTACAGAACCTGTAATTGAAAACTTATGGCAGCATTTTGGGGAGTGATATGTTCTTAATGTTAATTTGTGGATTTGCTCTGAACTCCCTTCTGCTGTTTTAGAACCATCGGCTGAGTGAACGTTTTCCAAGTCTTTTCAGATCAAAACTGTGTTTCATGGAATGGAGTATTTGGTACTTAAATAATGTATAAATCCAGTTGGACAGGATCTGCCTGTCAGTTTTATTAACTTTGACCTTTTCTCCCATTATAAAGATGGTTCGGTAAATATTTAATGGGCCCCTTATAGATCTTGATAGTCGGAGCTGTGTTCCTGGAAACTGGGATACGGATACGTATACATGATGTCGCTTAATCACCGTGAGTCAGCGTCGAAGGGCAGGTTTTATTTTTCTGGAAAGAGGAGCCTGTCCCTCTCCGTGTGCTCTTAGAGGTGCAGTGTCTGTTGAAGGCGTCCAAGATGGAAGGCATTTTAAAGGCACCCTTTAAAAGACAGCAGCTAGCATGCATTTCTGCTCTTTTGGGTTTTTTTGTTTGAGCAAACGATCAAAATGATGCCAGGTGGGCAAAATATACCCTGCCACTGTGCGCAGTTAGCAGGACTCTTCCACTCAAAGAGTCAGCAGGGCCGGAATGGCTGAGCTTGCATGGACCCTAATAAGATACAAAGAAGAAGGAGAGCCAAAAGGAGAGACGATTCCTTGAGCCAGGAGGGGACCCCTGCCAAGCTGTCTTTCCCTTTAATTCCATAAAGCCCCATGCATATTGCACTCATTGCAAATTCTGGTGGGGAAGATCGAAACCCAAGTAGCTGACATTTTGAAACATTGTCTTTCAAACTTGTACTGTCCCTTGCTTCCATTGATTTCCCATTTAAGAAATCTGTAGGAGAAAAACAAATTTGAGCAAAATTCATTGGTCTAAGATGAGTTGTTAGAGCTGAATTATGCCCCCCCCTTCCACCCTGAGAAGAGCTCCATTTTTATTATAAATGTGATACATCTTTGTCTTGTATTGTGCAGCCGTAAGGCTCCCCCAGCAGATCGACCAAGTAAATCAAGAGCCCGTTAAAAAGCAATATGGATGCTCCAAACACAGACATTTCAGTCTTACTGGGTCACTGGATATCTTCATTTTTATGACCACTTTCAAGAAGCAGACCATTTCATTGCGTTCTGTTTTCTTGCTCTCTCTCTGTTTGTTTGCAGCCCACCGGCTTTAGGTAGGCCATCTGTTTTTCAGAACATCATTACCCTTTGCATGCAGGGCCCAGCCCCTTTGATATGGTGGTCACCAGTTTCATTACCATGAACTGTAATGTAGCTGACTCTGCAAAGGAAATCTATGCCTTGAAAGAGCATTTTGAAAAGAAATTGATTCAGAGCTTCAGAGTGAATTACTATTTGTATGTTTAGTTAATTCTAAATAAATGTTTGAAGGACCTTGCTTAATTTGAGAAGGGAAGAAGAAACATTTTGGATGTTATAAATGGTCTCAATCCAGACTCTTAGCTTGGCATTTTCACATTTGAATGTTTTATTTACATCTGTTCACAATTGGGATACCTTTCAAGGATGATTTTATTATCGAGAGATTGATGACAACTCTTAAGATCTAAAATACCGAAGTATGGGATTAAAAAAGGAAGATAGCAGTCACTGTCACATGTCAGATTGGATGTAAGCGCCTCACTTGGCAAAGAGTGAGACTGATGAGTTGTATTTTAAAACAAAGGATCCTGATGGTAGGAGATGGGGGTGGGGAGGGGAGGGAGACTGACTGCATTGGGGCCCTGGGGAACTTTCTTCAGGGATGGACATTCTCCGTACCTTGATTGGGGTGTATAGACAGGTATAGACATTATCCCAACTCATCAAACTGTACACTTAAATGTGTGCATTTTATGTAAATTTTAACTCAATAAGGCGGATTTTTTTTTTTTTTTTTTGAAGTCCTGTTGGGTTTAGAATTAGGCAGTGTCACTTCTCTTTTCCAAAAGTGAAATGGAGGTCTAGAGAGGTAAAATGATGTGTCCTGAGTAACTTCAAAGCTCAGTGGTTTGTCCGGAACACAGCCAAGGATGTGGGGCCTAGAGCTCACTGAAAGTATTTTGCATCCTTACTGGCACTGTATTGTTCCACTTACCTGTACACAGAGTGAGAGGAACTCCTCTGTCCTGTATCCATTTGTATGCTTTTTGTTGTAAGATACACTCAGGAGCTTATCCTTACCACTGATACTTGTATCTTCAGCATTGAAGACAGCAGACAGCGGATGTTGGGGCTGACCACGGGTGTGCTTCCTGTATGTTTATGATAGGCCAGGTTGTGCTCCCAGTTAATGCAGAAGACTCCCAGTTATGTGGTTTTTATTATAAGCAAGAGTTCCCAGAACCAATTCGTCTTTAAGAAGTCCCTGTGGATCTTCTTAGAAAAAATGACATGGGCTTTGAAAAACCATTTATATAAAGCATATATGAAATAGTAGTGAAAAATAAAGAAGAAAAATTATTCAAGCTCTGCTATTTAGGAATGTGCTGTTAATGTTTCTTACTTTCTTTCTTTTCTTTTTTTTTTTTTTTAAAAATTTTTTTTTTTTTATTAGAGAGAAAGTGCAAGGGGGGGGAGGGGCAGAGAGAGGGAGAGAGAATCCCAAGCAGACTTCCCAATGAGTGCAGAGCTGACGTGGGGGCACGGGGGCTTGATCTCACGACCCTGAGATCACGACCTGAGTTGGAATCAAGAATCGGATACTTAACCCACTGGGCCACCCAGGCGCCCCTATTACGCTTAACATTTGAGAGACTGTCTTTTTTAAGCATTTCTCTGTTTACAGTGTACCTGTTTTTGTTTTTTATTCCATAAAATGATGTCATAAATTCCTTTCCATATCTTAACCAAGCTCCCGGTCATTGCTGGGTGCTCAGGAGGTCCCCAGTTCTTCACCGTTATGTAACGCTGTGACAAACAGCCCTGTCCACTCTTCTCTTCCTGTTCGTCTCAGTAGCTCCTTACAAATACATTCCTCGGAGCAAAATGTTAGCCGCTGCATTCGCCGTGATTTAAGACGTTCTAAGGGGTAAGGCACATCAAGTAGTGATAGTTTCATACCCCTCGGCCTGCGTTTACCAAACGGTATTTTTCTTCCCCTTTTGTTCTCTTTGCCCGTGCAGTTGCAGTACCATGCAGGTCTGGCGTCTGGCCTTTTGAATCAGCAGTCCTTGAAGCGCTCGGCTAACCAGATGGGCGTGTCCGCCAAGCGGAGGCCGAAGGCTCAGCCCACTACTCTTGTCTTACCGCCTCAGTGAGTAATGGGTTTGCAATAGTTCTTTCATCCTGGGCGAACTCTTCTCGGTGCTTGTTTGTGGGGAGTGGAAAGTTGTTTCTTGTGAAATTGCTCTTCCTTTTGCCAGGGTACCTGCTAAGATTAGAAACCCAGCATGCAGGTAAGATCGTTTGCATAGATCTTACGTGAAGCGGTGATCGTGTGATTCCTAATTAACATATTTTGTGTGACTTTCCCACCTAGGATTTCAAGATATCTCATAGCCTTTTCTTTATTTCCTTGTCACACTCCCAGAGCTGGCACAGCCTAAGTGCAGTTGTTCTTATCTAACCGATGACACAGCTCAGGGGCACGTTTTAAGAAGCTGCGGGCCACTCAGAGAATCCGAGGGAGCTGGGATTCGAGTCGTGCTAGGCTCACTTGTTCTCTTAAATGTGCAAAATATGAGCCCTTCTTTATCCTAGTAGGAGAGATAGGAGGCACTGTAAGGTTCAGAAATGTCCAACTCAGTGATGGTTTTCACATGTGCGTACCTCCATGGAGCTCAACCCAGATGAGGCCATGTGGCCACGGCTTCCAGAATCCCGTGAGGGGTCCCCCCATGTTCCCAGTCGGTGCACGTGCTGCCTCCTTTCCTGGGTTTAGCACTGTTCCACCTTCTTCGAACGGTTGATTTTTAACCTATTCTTGAACTTCACGTCACTGGAGCCGTACAGTACGTAATCTGTTTCCAGCTCTTTTTCGCTCAGCATAATGTCTGCTAGACTCATCTAGATTGTCTGTCCTTTTTTGTTGCTGGGTAGTATTCTCGTGACTATGCCGCAAGTGACTCATCCGTGACCTGTGGGGCTACTTCGTGCTAGAAGCCCTAGCACGTGAAGGCCAAGGCTCACTTTGTGGGAATCAGCAATGCGAACACACCAGTCTTTGCTGATAGCTTCTCTGTGAGCGCGCACACTCCCCGGAGCAAGGCAGCACTCCCAGCGGCTGGCCTGGGCCTTTAGACACATTCCCTGTCCTGTCCTGCCCTCCCATCGTACCCCGTTTCGGTTACATCCTCAGTCACAAACTACAGTTGACACCTCGAATAATGCAGGGGTCACAGGCACAGTCAAAGATCTTGTATAACTTTTGGTTCCCCCCAGACTTAACTACTAATAGCCTGAGAGTGACCGGAAGCCTACAAGTAACATCAACAGTCGATTAACATGTATTGTGTGTATTAAATGTGTCATGTTCTTACAATAGCATAAGCTGGAAAGAAGAAAATGTTACTAGGAAAATTATAAGGAAGAGAAAATACATTTATAGTGCTGTATCGACAAAAATATCACAGATAACGTGGATCCTTGCACTTCCAACCCGTGTCATTCAGGGATCAGCTGTACGTTTTAAAATTTCCATCCAGAGGAGTGTTTTCGGTGAGACTCCGTTGTTTGCTTTTATACAAGATCTCACTTACTTTCCGTTTGATGAGCAAATATTGTACCTCCTATCTGTAGGCACTGTCCTAGGCTGTGGGGTTACAGTCATGAACAACACAGATGTGGTCCTGTGTTCCCGAAGCTTTTGTTTGCAGGGGGAAAGAGACAAAAAAAGAAAAAAAAAAGGCACTCCTCAACAAATTAATAAATTAATATAATAATTTCTAGTTACGATATATTAACAAATTAATATAATAATTTCTGGTTATGATTGGTGCTTAGAAAGGAACACATAGTGTAGTAAAGGTTGAGGTTGAGGAAAGTGCTTAGATTGGGTGGTCAAAGAAGGCCTCTCCAAGGAGATGACGTGAGGTGGAGAGAGGCCAGCAGAGAGCTGGGAAGTCACAGAGGATGCTGCGGGATCTTTTCCCTCATCGCTGGACACTCACACCACCATTTCTATGATTTTCAGGTTTTCTTCATAATTAACATTTGCTTCCAGGAGAAGATGAACATAACCAACCAGCTTCCGAAAAGTGATTTTCTGCTACTGCATGGCCAGGTGCGCGTTTCTCAGACACTTTGAGTGACGCAGAGCGAGAGTTGTCACTGTTTGGTAGGCGCTTCTGAAGGAACGTGATCTGTGGTTCCTCATATGTTGACTTGGTGATTCTGCGAACCTTCAACTTGCAACTCTCTAAAGTCTAATGGGCTTTGTAACTTGTCATTTTCCCTGCGTGGATAGTCTGCGGAGGCAAGACGTTTGACGAGAAGCGAAAGACTTTCTAATAGTCCCATAAGACTGGAGCCAGAAAGTGTTTGCTGCTAAGTCTCTCTTGACCAAAGTCCGCCCGTGGTCCATCTGTTCGCCATTTGTTCATTTGCATTGGCTTGAAACCTGTTTACAGGTGACATGCTATTATGAGGACACTTAGAAACTATTTTAAGCACCAAGGCAATCAACAGACTCTGTTCTCATGCCAAAAAAAAAAAAAAAGGAGGTGTTCACAACTGTCATTATAAATTTATAATAAATCACTCAAAACACTTAGTTTCAAAGAGAAAAGTTGTTGCCGTGTCCTAAGAATACAACATCGGAATGATTTCCTATACTCAGTAGCCTGTTTCCTGTGAAAATTGACTGCTGCCTTTTCACATCATTGAGCTTTTGGGGTTCACGCTCCCTTCAGAGACCTGTCCAGTAGGCAGGGTATATAGCTAAAGGACATTCAGTGCACCTTTCTTGAGCACCTACTACATGCTTCTTCCTGTGTTAGAGTCAGAAATAGAAATACCAATAAGACATAGTGCTGGACTAATTGAATTATAAAAAAAATTTAAATTAAAACATAGGCCACTAGTAATATATACATATTGTAGACCTTGAACCAAGCAAAGATGACACGAAAGGAAAACATAATAACACCATCACACAGAGAAAGTTACTGCTAAGGGTTTGATGGATATAATTCTCAATTTTTTCTATGCAAATATAATGTTTAAAAATAAGAAACATCCTCCAAAAAGGATTGTATTGTAATGTTCTGTATCACATCTCAGCATTTCTTGAATATAGTTGTTAGACTTGAAGATAGTGTAATTTTATCTGCGGAACATTTAAATTTGCATATTAATCAGCCATGTTCTGGTTGTATTCTGTAGAACACTGCTAATTACAAAATTTTTATTACAAGCACGACATGACCATAAACTAACTCTGTCATTAAGGAAATCCCTTATAAAACAACACCCAAACCCTGCGTATCAGTCACCTACTGCCACATAACAGATCACCCCCAAGCATGGTCGTTTGACCCCAGTAAACACCTGTCACATATTTTCTAGCTCAGGAATCTGAGAGTGGCGTGGCTGGGTGGTTCTGGCTCAGTCTCTCGGAAGATTGCAATCAGATCTCAGCCAGAAATGCAATCATCTGAATGTTGGACTGAGGTTTGAAGGTCTTGCCCAGGGCGGCTTGGTCATACGGCAGGCAAGTTGGTGCTGGCTGTTGACAAGAGACCTCCGTCCCTCTCCATAGGAGACTTGAGTACCCCCATGACTTGCAGGTGACTTCTCCCAGAGCAGGGAGCCCAGCAGAGCCGATCCTTTTTCGGACCTAGTCTCCAAAGACACAGCATCCATTCCACCCCATTCTGTTGGTTAGAAATGAGTCACTAAGTCTGATGTTTAAGGGGAGGGGATGAGGCTCTCCCTTTTGAAGGAAGGATTGCCAAAGAATTTGTGGTTGTCGTTTAAAACCACTGCAGTTGCCAGTGAGGAGAGTCATTGCACAGAGGGAAGAATGGTGGAGCCTGTAAGCCCCATTCACTTATTTATTCAGCAAATGTGTACTCAGGGCCTACAAGTGTTTGGTCCTGTGCACTGTGCTGGGAATTTGGAGATGAACACAACACAATTTTGGCTTTCACGAAGCTCTGAGCAGAAGCAGAGGAACAAACAAGTAGCAGGGAATCCTAGTAATGTGTGCCAAGCCCTAATGACATCCCAAAGTGCTCAAGAAGGCCATGGGCAGGGCGCTGAGAGAGCCACATGTAGGGAGGTCTAGCCAAACGTTGGTGAATTTCTCCACTGCTGGGTGAAGGATGGAAGCTTGACTTCATCAGGAGAGCTCGATGCTTCTCGTATAGGCTCACAGGATTCTAAGGAAAGGTTTTATTTCTCCTTGGAGGAAGCCACCGGAGGACCAGCGCTGGACTCCATACTCACCCTCCTCTGGAACTCTGGTGATGCGGTGACAGATGGGTTTCTGCATTGCCTTGTGTCAGCATTTGGATGGCAGGAAGGCTACCACAACAAAACCACGGGCTCTAAGTGTGCTGAGACCACAGGCACGGTGAGGGGGCAGGAGAGGTGTACAGTGTGTTTATTTTTTAAATGCAGTTGGCTTAAACAGTAGTAGTCTTTGAAGATGCTGATTCTGCCAGAGTTCCCATAGGATTAGTGATTCATGGGATTAATGATTCATATCTTTCTCCTCCTCCAAGGAAGCTTCTAAGAAGGCAAAGATGCTCTTCGTGATGAAAGATCTTTTACCATATGTCGGCATTCGGAGGGCACTGACGAAGCCACCTCACTTCTCTGATTCCCCCTGAGTGTTGAATCCATCGTGGAAAAGGCCCTGTCATTTTCAGAAAGGAGCTGTGTCCCCTGTTGCTGGGTAAACGTTGTCAGGCTTTTGACCCTTGTAGGAATGAGGTCAGCTGACGGTTGCGATATCTGTGTGTTTACTACATGTCAGATGCGGCCATGTTTGCTTGTGCTCCCTTAGATAGCTGTCTCAACTTCGCGACCCATTGTTCAGCGCGCTTTCGTGTTAACACGGATACGGTTTTGATCAAGATTGTCAAGCCAAGTGGCCTGGGACCCTGGTGGCGACCTGATGAAGTGCTGACTGTCGGTGGGCGTGGGACGAGCGGATACTTACGCATTTGTACTTGGCACACATAGATCTCATTTAGATTCAAGGGGAAACATTGTTCTACAGAAAGGTTATCTTTCAAAGTATTACCGTCCCCTGGAAGTTGTGGGGACGGGAGGTTTCTTTTGTGTCATGTTATCCTTCCTGAAAAGGTG